CCAAGGATCGGGATAGATCGGCCGGATACAGACTCCAGGTGAAGGCTTCCCTCCTCTGGATGAAGTGGAAAACGGTGTCTGCTGACCCCTCAATAAGGGGCAAAGAGTGGGAGAGTACCCATAGTGTAGTATTTCAAAAGATAACTTTTATTGGTAATAAACAGTGCAGGGTATATCAGTAGTGATGCTAGGCAGATGGCCAGACATATAAAGTGAATAACATAGATAAAAAGCAAAACCACTGACCCTGAATGAAGAAGCCGCCAGACCTCCTCGTGGTCTGGGCGGCAATAAGGCGTCACATGATGTGCCTTAGCACGAAAGGCCTCAGGAGGAACTGACAGCCTGTGACGCCTTATTGCCGCAGACCACGAGGAGGTCTGGCGGCTTCTTCATTCAGGGTCAGTGGTTTTGCTTTTTATCTATGTTATTCACTTTATATGTCTGGCCATCTGCCTAGCATCACTACTGATATACCCTGCACTGTTTATTACCAATAAAAGTTATCTTTTGAAATACTACACTATGGGTACTCTCCCACTCTTTGCCCCTTATTGAGGGGTCAGCAGACACCGTTTTCCACTTCATCCAGAGGAGGGAAGCCTTCACCTGGAGTCTGTATCCGGCCGATCTATCCCGATCCTTGGGAGGTTCTGTGAGCCCAGCTGACCATCGCATGATAACACCCCTTCCTGAGGGAGATCGATACTCTGCAGAATTGATTAAACATATGCGCATTTCCTATGCGCGGTCGGTGAGTGCGCACTTCTGCCATTTGTTCCGGATTTCTCATAAGCTGTGTCACATCTACTTTATCGCTGATTCTATGAACTTTTGATAATTTCAGAACGAACTTTTTAGATCGAATTTTCTAGACCAGAACTTTCTAGATCGAATTTTCTGTTTATTTTTAGCGCTGCACTTTTACTTATCAATAATGCATTTCTGAATGCTTGTGAGGATTGATCCAATCAATCCAATCATCTTAATACAATCTTTCTGCCAATGTTAGGAATGCATGCTCAGTATAAACGTGTCTGCGGGAGTATAAAACTACAATAAAAAAAGTCTATGAAAAAGATTGCCTGTTTTTACTGTCTGCAGCTTTCTCTTCCACCAGTAGCTCCTACTGAACCACATTTTTTTTGAATATAGAACCAGAATGTGTTTTTTTCTTCCTTTTTGGGGGGGAGGGGGAATAGAAATTTAATATATATAATTCCTATTTTTATAGTTTTTTACTTTATAGGAAGAGGGAAGTGTTATAAAAAAAATCATTTTTCTTAAAGCTACTTTCCGCGAATGCAACACTGAATATTTTCACCAAGATATAATTGAAAATGTATGTAAATGTAAATTTAAGTACAAGATTATTCCAGCAATGTAATTTTTATGTGATAAAGCAATATGGTAAGCCTAATGTTAAAGTTCATCTCCAAGTATAGACTTTAACACTGTAACACATACAGATCAAATAATCTGCATAACTCAGTAGTGTAGCACTAATATGGAAATTAATCTGGTTTCTAAAAATGGGTATTTGTAAAAAAAAAACCTTGACTCTGTAAGAGGGGGTCGTTGGGGGGTAGGGAGGGGGTGGCTTGGCACCAAGTTGCATGTTATAGCCTACATATTGGTGCAATATGTAATATGATATATAAAGTGGATTTAGCATTTAATATTATGTAGTCCTCTATACAACCAGAAACTGGAGCTCTAGTTTTTTTTTCAGCTGTGCTAAAGGAATCCATTTTTTACAGTTAATAAGTCATCAGAGTAGTGATTCCTCCAGTGTAAGATAGTTTAGAGGTTTATTATTCAGACAAATTAAAATGCTAAGCAAGCCACCCTGTTGTGTTGCCTTGATAGATAATACATAGTGCTCTGGGAAACCTTTCTCATGTATTTTAAGATTGATTCTTAAAACAAGATTATATATAGATAATGTAATCCAATATAAAATGTCAGATTAAAAGCCTAAAAAAATGACCTTAGATCTATATTTTTTCTTTTGAGATGTCACCAAGAGCATCCAAAGTTTTTACTTAGACCAAGAGGTTAATGAAAGAATGTTTAATTTTTATATTATTGATCTAGTGTTTGCTTTTGTCAGATAGTAAAAGATCAGCTCTGCTCTGTTCCAAGATGACTAGCGAAGGTCAAAGAAGATCTCAAAGATGTCAGAAAGAGATCTTTAAGATTTTGCATGTGACCACAATGTGGAAACATTGTGGCTGAATTGTGTTGCAGTCCATTTAGAAAACACTGAAGCAGGATCAGAAACCCAAGAGCCTGCCTGTCAGTCTGAATATTGTTGGTTTTGCACTGGAGTCTGTTATTCCAAACAATAAGAGAGTGCAGCTTTGGGATGATGCTAATGCTAGCAGTATTTTCTGCAGTGCTGATTTAAATGGGCAGGCAGTGAAGAGTGGTTAACCTAACCAATGCTGACATGGTAAGGTTAACCCAAGATAAACACAGGTTTAAAAAAGGTCAGAGACAATATAATATTCACTACTTCACAACTACAGTAAATTCTGCTATAAAGTTTGTATGTCATTTCCTTCCCTGTCCTCCTTTTAATAGTAACATTTCACTGTACAGTATGGCACCGATGCCCTTTGCGGATAACAAACTTCAACCATCAGAATTTGTTATCAACTGGAGTGAAATTTTTCAGCCTGCAGTCAATTTGATGTCCAGTTAAAAGGTAAGCCTAAAGTAAAAATTCACCTTTTTATTTAAAGCATAACTACATTTTTAACAGAGATGGAAATAATTACATTTTTGTCAGGTTTTTATTTCTGTATGTGGTCCCATTCAGGAGATTTACCCTTTCTGTCCTGTGATGTGTGCACAAGAATTAGTTGAAGCTGTCCCCACCAGCAAAGGAAGTCACAAACAACAATAAAAAATATTGTCAGAAGTTCAAACCCTTTAAGGGACATGCAATAGAAGTCATAATGAGGCTTCATCCTTTTCACTGTCTATACAAAATGTTTTGACTTGAGTTGGGCATTATACTGTATTTGTTTATTATACAGTAGAGAAAGAATAGAACCTATGTTGGGTCTTTACTGCTATACAAGGCCCCTTCAGAAAGCTTTTCCCTCAATTTATGTCCTGGCATTAATGTTTTTACCAGACTGGAATTGAAGGAAAATAGCATTTAGAATGCAAAGAGAAATAACAATTGACAGGGGTTCTAGTCTTCCCCTATTTTAATAAAAAGTTTTATTTTTATTTCTGCCTGTGTTGGGTGATCCAATAGCAACTTCAAGAAACCAAACAAAAGAGGGCGCACCAGCCTAGTGCATTATCTCAGGGGTACTTTATTAAAGAGGTAAAAACATACTCAGAAACAGTGAAGATATACAACAATACAACATGTCATGCCACCATCTCAAGGCACAGTGAATAGGACTCAGAGTGATCCAATGCCAAGACGATGCCTTCCAGGATACAGAAACGGCTTACACGTTTCAAGGATAAACCCTCTTCAAAAAACATTTTGGCTAGACATAAAATTAAATTTCCTGTCTCAACATGTTTGAATACTGCATGTGATACTTTTTTTATTTAAAATGACAGTTGCATTTAAAGGACAAGCTTTTGAGGTGTATCCCCTTCTCGATTTGAGCAGTATTGATACACAAAGCTTTAGCAAAATGCTAAGACAAATAATATCTAAAAAAAAAGCACATGCACACACAAAGTTTGTTCTTCTAAACATTTTCTAAAGCTTTTTGTAACAGTACTGCCTGGGATAACCCCAAAAGTTTGACTGAAAGATGTAACTGTGCAAATAAAAACGTATTAGAGTTGATGCAAAGCTGGAGGTCAGAGGATTTTTTTTACTACCTCCTACACACCACCACCCCAATATGTTTAGTCACTCAAAATGTGTAAATTATAATGGTAGATATTGTGGTGTTGAGAACACAACACAACACAGGATATACAGTTATAAAATTTCTAACTATATTACATACTACATGTTGTCTCACTAAAAACAAAGTATTCAGGTTTGACAAAAAAACAGGTTATGACATATACATTATCTGGTAGAGTTCATACCCTCTACAATATAATACACTCTATATCCACACATGTATGCATAATAATTTTGTTATAGCATGATACTATATAGGTATTTGCACATCTTTTTCAAGGATACATTTGCAGGTGACCAGTGCATATGTTTTGGAAAAAACATATACATATAAACATCATAGATATATGTATTTCTTCCACTGTAATATAATATCATGAAAGATGGATTTTTTTTCATCTCTGCCTTCTGCTGGGGACAAATAGAAAAAAATACCAGGGACAGATCCCCCAAGACAGGGATGGTCCCTAGGAAATGGGATGAATGGCAACCTTAAGCTGAGTGGTGGAGAGGGGGGACATTGGTGGTATGTAGGAATAGAGGGGGGACATTGGGGCTAAGTGGGGGACATTGTTGCTAGGTTTGGAGGAGGAGGGACCTTGGTGTTAAGTGGGATAAAATGATGAGGGAGTGGTGATCTTAGATAACCATCTTTGATGTCTCCTCTATGATCGTAAATCTATCGTCTGGACTTTCTCTTAAATTTCCCTATATAATAGAAATACTATGGACAATGCACTACTGTGTATATGGAGCATGTCACAGAATGTTTTAGCACAAAACTATTCCCATTTGGTAGTCTACGTTCTCTACATTGTGATAGAAAGCAACATTGACTGTAAGACCCACACCTTAAGGCCCCCTCTTAATAGATAGTGTTATCCACTGCTCTGTGTGCATAGAGAGCTCTGTGTGCATAGTGTAATAATAAAATTACAAAGACTTTAACTGCAATTCATGTCTTGAAGTTTTGTTATCTCAACATTATCCCAGATTACATTATGATTTACAAAATTTGAGTGCCCAGTTTGAAAAAGTATCACGGACAATACTCGACTGTATTGTTGCAAATGCACTGATATGGCATAAGACTGCCCTGCATGAATAATATTTAATTTAGATTTTCTGTTTCTTTGCAGTAAACATTGCATTCCAAGGCTGATATGAAATGTAGCAGTTTAGTAAATCACAGTTTTTTTGTGATGAAGGACATTAATTCCATGCTTCTTCAGATATTGGCAGCCTTATGCAGGCCATAGATGGGTCGAAAATCGGCCGATTTTTCGTCCGAAAATAAAATCGCCCGATTTTCGGATCGTTGGTGGGCTATTTGTTCGACCGTTTTTCGGTATTTTGGCAGCTTTTTTTATCGGTAAAGTTGGAAAAAAAATCGGCCGATTTTGCCGATCGGCCGATTTTCGCGGCAATGATGGGCAAATCGGCCGATTTTTTACCGATAAAAAATCTGCGCATGAGCAGTGACCTGCAAGAGGAAGACAAAAAGAAGAAAAAGAAGAAGAAGAGGATGATGATGAATAAGAAGATGAGGATGATGATGAAGAAGAGAAGAAGAAGAAGAGGATGATGATGAAGAAGAAGATGAGGATGATGATGAAGAAGAAGAGGATGATGATGAAGAAGAAGAAGAGGATGATGATGAAGAAGAAGAAGAAGAAGAAGAAGAGGATAATGATGAAGAAGAGGATGATGATGATGATGAAGAAGAGGATGATGATGATGATGATGAAGAAGAAGAAGAAGAAGAGGATGATGAAGAAGAAGAAGAAGAGGATGATGATGATGAAGAAGAAGAAGAGGATGATGATGATGAAGAAGAAGAGGATGAGGATGATGATGATGAAGAAGAAGAAGAGGATGATGATGGTGAAGAAGAAGAGGATGATGATGAAGAAGAAGAAGAGAAGATGAGGATGATGATGAAGAAGAAGAAGAGGATGATGATGAAGAAGAAGAAGAAGAGGATGATGATGAAGAAGAAGAAGAGGATGATGAAGAAGAAGAAGAAGAGGATGATGAAGAAGAAGAAGAGGAGGATGATGATGATGAAGAAGAAGAAGAAGAAGAGGATGATGATGAAGATGAAGAAGAAGAAGAAGAAGAGGATGATGATGAAGAAGAAGAAGAAGAAGTAGGATGAAAAATAAGAGGAATTCCAGTCCAGCAAAAAGTGTCCCTGCAGAGAGCTCCGCTATTTCTTTGACAGTTCTTTGACAGTTCCTTGACATTTACAGCGGTTGCAACATTGTATCTATTTGTTTCCGAATAAAAACATCTGTATCCTAAATGGAAACAAATAGATACAATGTTGCAACCGCTGTAAATGTCAAGGAACTGTCAAAGAACTGTCAAAGAAATAGCGGAGCTCTCTGCGGGGACACTTTTTGCCGGCTGTAGACGGGATGAAAATCGGACGATTTTTTTTACCATTGATGGTAACGTCGGCCGCTTGAACGACCGATTTTTCATTTTTTAAAAGAAAAATCGGCCGTTTTTCTCCCCGTCTATGGCCTGCATTAGTTTTTACATAGTAGTGTTTAAACTTTTCTTAAAATATGCAATCATTAGTATTCTGTGTATATTTACCATTTGGTTTTTGCTCTATGCATACTTTGGATACAGCTTTTGGACATACTGTATTCTGATTCCAAGACCTAGTCTGGATACTGATTTGTTATATACAACTTTGCAAATGTTACTAACTTGTGACTACAGTAAAATTCAAGAAAACTAAAAAAAAAATAATAAAAATGGAATATACCTATCTTTATAAATCATAGGGGACATTGCTATCCTAGAAGAAATCTCTCCTAAGTTATAGCTTACAACTAATAGCTTTCTCAAGAGCACAGAACAAAAATAATGTTTTCCACATGTATACAGATTATTTTACGAGTATTTTTTTAATTCTGAGCATATGGAAAGCAAAGGTTATCAATCAAATAGTGATTTATTTTTAATTTAAAGTGCCTGGGCAGATTAAAAACATATTTAATTAATTCCTACAATACAGGGACAATTTATATGAAAAATAACAGCAATCATAGCTGAATGGATTTTTTAAAGCATAGGCAGTTCATGAATTTTTTCAGCAAACAAATAGTTACATGGTTTATAAGGTTGTAAAAAAACACAGGTCCATCCAGTTCAACTAATGTATGTGTGTGTGTTCTTACACCCTAACAATGCTTATAGCCCTGTATATTCTACTTTTTGAGAAAGCCAAATAAAAGTTGTTGGTTTTTTTTTTGTAAGCGGTAGTAAACTCTGCTTTTCAACTTTTATCTACAGGTAAGCTTATAATAAAACTTACCTGTAGGTAAAATCAATATCTCCTAACTGTGTGCCGTTTAAGAGATATTCATATGTTTAGCCATTGGTGGGTTGGTGATATCACCAGCACACGTGCGCTATGTGCTAAAGGGACAAAATTTACTAACGCATTTACCACCACTTTTAACTGTCAGCACTTTACCTAGTACCCCTTCCTGGGGTAATCTACATGCCATCTATGCTTCAGCAATACCTGTGTCACTTATAATAAATAGGTAGCATATTTGTAACAAGTGGCTTATGGATTGAAAACCCTTCTGCCACCTAAGCTACATTGGTGACATACAGATTTTTGTGGTATAGATGATACATCATGGAATGTTGTAGTATATACCATGTGCAGGGGCGGACTGACAACTCATGGGGCCCCCGGGCAATAGGGGATCATGGGGTCCCAGTGTCCTTGCCCACACTCAAAAAAGCCTATCAAAAGGTAGCCATGCTGCAACAATCTATGTGCCAGTTTATACTACAACAATCTATGGGGATATTTACTAAAATTGGAAAGAACAAAATGTGGTGCACCAATTTTAGTATATCTCCACCTATGTAACATAGGCGGCAGGTGAATTAACACAGATTCCATATGGAGAGCATTCAGCTTTGTATGTACTGTATGTTTTTGTTATGGAAACACCTTTTGGTTTCTGGTTGTATCAGTACTACTTGTATTTCTCGGAGTCCGATCCATTATGCTCCCCAATCTGCAGATCCGATCCATCTTGCAGGGATCGTCGGCTTGCAACCTATACTGTGTTAACTAATCTTGCAACACCGGTCCGGGGGGTGCAACGGGGACACAGGGAGGGGAAGAGCCAGGCTATGTGTGCAGGACAGGGACCACCCACCTCTGGAGGGGTGACACCACATGTTACCGCAGATCCGATCCATTTTGTGGGGATCGTCGACTTGCTTTAAAACTTTTTGGTCTCACCCCGTGAGATAGGTGTCACCCGGAGTGGCGCATACCCCCCGCACCCAACTAGGGATGCCACTGATTATGGCCCTTTCACTAGGGTAGTAATTATGTTTCTGTTGACTTATTTGTGGTTGTGCCAGTACATTAATTATGTTGTTTCTACAGACACGTTTCTGTATGTGATTGTCTTAATTTTATTTATTTATTAATTATGAGTGCTTAAATAGCACTTTCAATTTACGCACTGATTTACACACACACACATATATTATACATTTACATCAGTCCCTAACCCTCAAGGAGTGTACAATCAAAGATCCCTAACTCACATTCATAGAGACACATACTAGGGCCAGTTTAGATTGGAGTCAATTAACCTATCAGTATGTCGTTGGAGTGTTGGAAGAAACCGGAGTACCCGGAGGAAACCCACACAGCAACAGGGAGAACATGCCAACTCCAGGCAGGTGGTTGGGATTTGAACCAACAACCTTTGTGCTGTCAGGTGGAAGTGCTAACCATTTAGCCACTGGGCTGCCCATTTATCTTAATATGCACATTTATCTATGTTTGTCTCTTTAAAAATTCTGCAAGTACAGAAAAATATGTGAGCTCCTAATTTCCTTTAGTGGGTTGACAACTCATCCACTGCTTCACTGAAATCTCATCTGTTTTGTCAACCCTTTCTATTTCTCTTTTGTGGACTACAGAACACTTTGTGCATCTGTTATAGAGATAAGGTGGGGAGAGCTGTTTTTTGTAGTTCAGCTAAAATAGAAAGTTAAGAACACACTGGTTTTCTGGTAAATCAATGGGTTCTTTTCTACAGTTGGATTATTTTTAAAGAGGCAAATTATGTGGAAATGTGAATGAATTTCAGAGATTTAGTGCATATGTTTTTTATGCACAGACATACACTTCAAAAGCCTAAGTCTACCCAAAAACAATCTTTCAGTTGTGCTTCATTCCTTATAAGTGGCATCACATACTGCCTTGTAGTTTTTTTTGGTAACAATAGTACCAAGATATCCCAACCAGAATTCTCAGTTTTGCTCAACTGCTACAGACATTGCTAAGTTAAATGATAGTGCCATGCTGTTCCACCAATGCTGAGCATCAAGGTTTAACACCAGCATTCAGTCTATTTTTGAATCTCCTTTTTTCTTATGGGCAAAAGCAAATGTCTTGAGATCTAGCTACAGTTGTTCTGGGCTGTACAGAAATATTGTGAATCCAGAACATTATATCGTAACACTAAACTAGATTAAGAACCTTATCTTACCCATCACTGAACCAGAAATAAAAGCTAAGGGTGAAGAGTATATAAAACAATATTCCTTATAAATGGTGTTCTCAGCTTTCAACAACTAATAGGTTTCTCATTCAAGAAGTAACCTGCAATGTTATTATCATGAGATTAAAATTCATATAAAGGATGGGCAGAAAAAAGACAGTAATGTTTCAGTACTGAATATTTAAAGTGTAATTCTCTGCAGGAAGCTTTACAAGATTTGTTTCTCAGCACCCAGCTAAAAAGCTGAATATGTAGCATTTTGTATTAATGAATCTCCAGTTTAGAATTAAGGTTACTTTAGTGTGAAAGGGATTAAATGGTTATACAACTGGGAGATGTACTCAGTATATTTAGCTCTTACTGTATGGAACAATTACATTAGCCAATAATGTTCCTAAATGCAGCATTTATGTGCAAAGATTGCTTTAGTCTAAATCTTTAATTTGATAAACTTTGAGAAATGCGCTTTTCATTATTTTAAAAGAGCAAAATATATTAATTGTAGTTACAGTACTGAACAAATGAAAAAGTAAGTGATGATGGCAATTTAAATCAATTTTCATACTGTGCAGTCTGCTTGCATTCTATATAAATACGGCTAAGAAGGGTCAGTTTGACATTATAAAGGCAATGGTAATACTTATCCCATCCATATTCCCACCTTGGGCTAATTTTAAGAGCATTTTACCACTTTTGCTGTTTAGGTGGGATGATACCTACTTTATATAATTTTTTTTAACCTCTTGGCATCCGCCCTATAGCAGAAGTACTGCTACAGGGCGGCACAGCTGCACAAAATCACGTACTGTATATAAACGTGATATGCATTTCCGGGTAGGGGGCGCACGCCACCCTACCCGTGCCGCTATTTGCAGCTGGGGATGTCAATCACTGGGTCTCAGCCAATGATTCCTGGTC